ACCCTTGAAAGTCAGAAATTTTGGAAAGGAGAGATGAAGAGGATTTTCATTTTCATTTCAGCCTTTGAATCAAACTCAACAATAAATATCGATCTCCTAAATACGCAGGCCTGTTTTGTTTAACGTTATTGTATTTGTTTGTTATATATATACTAGTCTCTCGACACGTGCGTTGCACGTGTATGCCGAGTTATGTAGTACACAAATTTTCAAAATAATATCAATATTATTAGAGCAAAATTTTGAATAAGTAATAGTATATGAATGAATAAAATATATAAGCCGGTCGAACGATCAATGTGGATTATTGTATAGTTACTTGTTTGCCAAGGTCAAGATGATTGGATATTATGGGTGACTTATTTTTTATCAATTTTAATTTCATGAGGCATAAATATATATTCCTAGTATATGTTACTTTCATCCATTTTGGTTGCGCTATTATGATCATGATTCTTGTTGTCGACATTGATATCTCTTAAGAGTAATTAAAGTTTGCTATGTGAAAACACGATGTGGTAGAAACTGTCAGATATTGAAATTTGTTTGACGTATGTTTTTTTTACCGTCCTTGCAAAACATAAAAGTAGATGGAGATATTTTCTGAGAAAATTGAGAATCCTTCATTTTCACGAAGAAAATTAATAAATTCTTAGAATAAGCACATGTTTGGTAGCATATTGACCAGTTATAATTTCTGCACGTATACATTGTTGTTATATCCTCTACAAATCATCTATGTACTATTGCACGTATACCTTTTTGGAAGGTCCAAAATTTAAGTCATTTGCTCGGAAATTCAGTTTATGAACTTAAAATATAGTAATTGTTCAAGTGCTAAAATAGTTATTAAAGAACGACCAATATTTGATATTTTTTTAACAAATAATTAAGTGTCACAAATTTAAAATTATTGTTTTCAAATCACAAATTTTGTAGGAGTTTTAATATGTGTTTTTTATAACTTGAGTTTGAATATGCATGTCTCTTGCAATAAATATGACTCGATAGTGCTTATTGACTATTCCAATTCTATCTTAGCTTTTCACCCACTTTTTCAATGTAATTTGACAAAATAAACATTTTGAATCTCATTATTCCTTTAAGGTTTAATTTCTTTAACATTCAGTACATTTGGTGAACAAAAAGTAAATTATTCTTTCATAAAACAAACTAATTTATTAGTTCATAATAACAATCATAAATACCACATTGAATAAATTATATAAAATAGTGCTTATTATATTCAATGATATTATCATAAAATAAACATAGATTTATCGTTTCTCTTCTAAAGAGTTGTGTCTTTCAATAAAATAACTAACCTTTCATGTTATTCTCTCGTGTTCCATAGAGTTCCATGAACCAGAGATATTCTCAAAATTTGGACAAATTTTAATATTATTGTAGTCCCTTTCACTGAATGATCTTGCGAGTGCACACTGTTATATATAATCTTATAATATTGATAATTCATGTGCTAATTTTGAAAAAGCCAAAATAAGAAACAAATGGAGAAACAAAAAATTTATGAACTTCAAATTGGGATCCATCAACGGCGGATATACAACATTCTGGACTTGTTTTCTTTCATGAATCTCCCTTTCGCCAATGTGATGTCAGTGTTGAAAACTTATTTTTCATCATTTTTTTTCCTTTTCCTTCTCAATTGGCCGATTACTCCTACAATTACTCTATCAGGGACATGTTGGTATAACTTGCAAAACAAACAACACACTTTTTAATCAAAATAATTACTATTATTGTTCTATAAATATTGAAAAAGAATCTAAAAGAGCCAAATTTTGCAACCATTTTTTTTAATAATGAAATAATTGTAAGAGATTTGATGGAATTACGAAATCGATGTTAGGCAATGGGGTTTTAGGAAGTTGCCAGTAGTATTTTATGCGCCAGAATATAATGGCTACTAAAGAGGTCGAAGTTGCATTCTTTGATATTTTTTTACTACAAGAATTTAACCCAATGGAAACAAATAAGACTATTCCTACGAATATAATGAATATTTTTCATCATTTTTTTTTATTTTACTATTGGAGTACAAAACCTAGGAAAAATGAATGTCAATATTCCTGAACGTTGGTTAATGAGAAGAATTGGCCGATTATTAGGAAAAATGACTCATTTGTGTGCATTTGCTGCAACAAAACAGTAAGTCTTTAAATAGGTGCGGCATTTAGAATTTAAAACAGCCAATAAGTTAAACTGAGTTTCAAAAGGTTATTTATCAACTGGAGCATCACAACTTTTGGAAATAGACATGTCTAATTGGTTGCCTTCTTTCACGTTAATTATTATTTTTAGTATAATATTTTAGTAATTAAATGATATTTCTACATATATTTATTAGAAGGATATTTTGATATTCAACTTTTTAATTTTGAGATTTTCACTTTTATAATAATATACATAATGTCACTTAAACAACTCCAATATACATAATTTTCGTAACACATACATTAAAAATTGGACTCACAATAAATACAAAGTTATATCACATGTATATATAAACCTATGACAACAATAAAGTTACTAAACAACTTTGTAACTTTAATATGCTAGGTTAATTGTCAGTATCTTTTTAAAACAAAGTAAATTAGCCAACGTGAATAGTTATTGGCTTTGACTAATTTTCATGAATTAATGGTAATCGACATACACATTATATTATAGTAAGTATTAGTTTAGTTGCATAAAATCATGAATCAAAATATAGTATTGATATGAAGCAAGCCAGTTATAATCATACAAATCATAAACCAATATTCAAGGAACATAAAAGGATGGAAAAAGTCCATTGAAACTTATCTGCTAAGAAGGACCCGTATCACAGATATAGATGTGAACCCAAACCATGAACTTTTTTCCTTTTTAATCTCAAATGCATTTCTAAAATTTTTTCTTTAAGGTAATTTTCTTATTTATAATTTCAATTGATATGCCCACCAAATACGTCTGCTTTTAGATTTAAAGATTGTGAAGAGTCTATCATTTTTACTAATGTAATGGATCACATCCATTCAAATAAATTTGGTATTTATTTAAGAAAATTGGTAAAAATAAAGTATTTAAATTATTTAGAAGGGTATTTCGGTAATTTAACTTTTTAATTAAGAGCTTCCCACTTTTATAATATATAATATATATATATATATATAGCTTAAATGAATTTTATTATTTTGGCATATAGTGTATGGAGTATTACTGCTATTACAATTAGTTTCTAACCACGTAAATCACCCACAAAACAAAGTTAAAGAGTTTAAAAATATATATTATTCATTAGTTTTATCATTATGATATGATACAATTATAAAAATAAAAATAAAAATAAAAATAAAATCAACTGATGTCAAAGATTAAGAACATAAGAATAGTATTTTCAAAGTTATAAGATGCTTGCTTGCGATAATACAACGTACATAAAAATTAATCTCAATAGTTATGTCATATTTTCATTAAATTTTTACAACACAGTTAATATATAGTTCTTACTTTTTGCTAATAAATTATTTTTCAATTTAGAAAGAAGAATATATTGTTTACCATTAATTGGTATTTAGTGTGGATAAAGAACTCACGTTTCTTTTTTCATTTAATACATAAATGGAAACCACTAGATTGGGAAAAGTTTAATGGCAGAGGAGTTATACAAAATCGTAAAAGTTAATGAAATGAAAATTAAACATGAAGTTATAGAAGCGAACAATCATAACAATGAAGACCCATAAATTATATATAAAAAAGTATTAAAACAGAAACGAACTAATGGAATAACATTTTCTAATTAGTATAAGCTTTAATTATTCTTGTCCAAGTGCAATTTTATTTTAAATAAGGAGCAACTTATGATGACACAACATTTAATATTTAGTTTATAGTTTTTCACTTGATCTATGTTTTACCTCAAATACTATTTTAATCATTTAAACACAATACTAACAGATAATAATTATCTACTAGCCATATTTTTATTGTGTAATAATGTCATAGCATAGGATTTCAGGAATTTATTTATATGATAAAAATAAAATTTATTCATAAATTTATATTATTGACGTTATAAACACGTGCAATGCATGTACACTAAAGCTAATTTATTATATATAGTTATTGCCTTATATTTTGAGGGACCAGACTTTGATATTTCAAAAATAATATAATAATTATCTTCGCGAGTATATACAAAGAGCGTTACATCTTTATATATTATTATTCTTCTGTAGCACTGGCACAACATTATCCAAGTTTTCAATCATTTAATATAACCTACACATTATTTGCTACGGTACAAGTGATGGTGCAACAAACACATCCTCTACTCGTGTATACTAACTTGAGCGTCAAAACTGCTAATTAAATGTCATTGTGCAATTTAGCTAACAATTACCATCACAATTAGTTTTTCTTATTGAAACAAACTTAGGGCTCGTTTGGTACGAGAGATAACTAAATATTAATTTCGAGATTAAATTTGAGATGAGTTTATCCTATATTTGGTTAAGATAAAATTGTGGTATAACTAATCCGGAAATTAGTTATCCCGAAATTGTAGTATTTTTTTATACACGTAGAAGGGTGGGATAACTAATCTCAAAATAACTAATCCCGAAATAATTAAAAAAGAAATAATTTATTTCCAAACAAACAACCCCTTAATACTCAATTTTTGTATTACCTTATGGAGAACAATTCACAATTCTAACTTCTTGAAAGAGAGAAGCCAGAAAAACTGTACGAATAGAGTTCAAGGAGCAGGATAGCTTCATTCATTTACATAAAAATATTAAACAAAAAAAAAGCCTATTCTATATGATCATCGGCACAACTAATTTCTACACTAAAATTGTATTTAAAAAAAAACAAACAAACTGTGCATTTGCTTAAAGTGAGAAGAAGAGCAAAAATAAAATAAAATAAAATAGTAAGTAGGAAATTAAACTTTTGGAAAATGAATTCTCAAATACTTTTCTATTACAATTTCTAAGCGACAGCATGAAGCTGGAGTCAAACCTTTGAACGCCTCCTTAAACCGTACTCCATTTTCACCCTTGAGCTGCACATCAAAGCTCATCCCCGACCCTGCTAAAGCCCAGAACAAATGTCTTCTTCCGCCGCCTTGCGCCACGCGCGCCACCTCTCAACCGCGGCTGCTTTGTCAGCTTCCAGCGCCACCATCTCTATCTCCAAAGCAAAATCAAAGCTCAAAGCCGAGCACGACCCAGACAAAGCCCTAGAGATTTACTCCTCCGTTTCCGACCGTTACATTTCCCCTTTGTCCTCCCGCTATGCTCAGGAATACACAGTCAAGCGCCTCGCTAAATCCCATCGTTTTTCCGACATTGAAAGTTTCCTCGACTCTCACAAGAATAGCTCACAAATTACTCAAGAGCCTTTTCTTTCATCCATAATTCGTTCTTATGGAGTCGCCGGAATGTTCGATCACGCGCTCAATATTTATCATGAGATGGATGATTTAGGCACCCCCAGATCAACAATTTCTTTCAATGTGCTTTTATCAGCTTGCGTGCACTCGAAACAATATGATCGTGTCCCCCACCTGTTTGATGAAATTCCTGTGAAGTATGGATTTTTACCTGATAAAGTCTCATATGGTATATTAATTAGGTCATATTGTGAAAATGGATCGCCAGAAATGGCAATGGAAAGGCTTAAGGAGATGGAAGAGAAAGACGTGGAGATTACTACTGTTACTTTCACTACTATATTGCACTCGTTTTATAAGAAGGGGAAGATCGATGAGGCCAAAAGAGTTTGGAATGAGATGGTGATCAGAGGGCATGGACCAGATGTTGGTGCATACAATGTAAAGATTATGAACATTCAGGGTGGTGATCCGGAGGGCGTGAAAGCCTTAATTGAGGAAATGAGTGATGCAGGGTTAAAACCCGACACGATTAGCTACAATTACTTGATGACTTGTTATTGTAAGAATGGCTTGATGGATGAGGCGCAGAAGGTTTATGAGGATTTGGGGTCAAAGGGGTGCAATCCAAACGCTGCAACGTTTAGGACTTTGATCTTTTACTTGTGTAAGAAGGGACGGTTTGAGACAGGGTATAAAGTTTTCAAGGAGAGTGTGAGAGTTCACAAGATTCCGGATTTCAGTACACTAAAGTATTTGGTGGAAGGATTGGTGCAGAGATCAAAGTTGAAAGATGCAAAAGGGATGGGCAGGACAGTGAAGAAGAAGTTCCCTCCTAACTTGGTAAAAGCTTGGACCAAGCTAGAGGAGGAGCTTGGTCTGGCTAAACTAGAAGCCGGTGATAAGAAGGTCAATCATACTTGTTAGGCTCAGTAGTTGGATGGTGATGGATGATTTTGTTTGCTGGATGTGTTTCATACATTTCCATAATTTATGAGGGCTTTTTGATCGTTAAATTTCTCTTGTTTTTCATAAAGATGTGAGCTCACACTTGATAATTGGGTTCTACCATTTTTTATGACCTTTATAAAGTTGATGAAGAGCTGTACATGAAGATTGTAAGCCTACTTTTGGAGGATCTGCAAATGGTGAATTCTATGAGTTGAATGTCCTGTTAATCCATTGCTTTGTTCCTCTCAGTCTCTCTCAGATATCTTTCTCAGACGCTGTAATCATAACAGTAACTGGGTGGTTAATATGAACGTTTTGATCTCTCTTTTGTAATGCGATTAATCAAATATGTTGCCACAACTTTGACAAATAATGATGGTTTAGTGTTAGGTTCTTCCTCTACTAGTTAATTTTAAAATATTGAGTTGCTCTTTGAAAATTATCTAAATTGATTCTTGAAAAGAAAAAAACGACACTTTTATTGGGATGGAGGAAATAATATTTGATCTAGATATAATTGGACGTTATTATACAATTTTGAATGGTTTGATTGGCAAGTAATTAGTATGGAATTAGATATAACGAAATGTAATCCCTTTTCTCATTATTTGACAGATAAAGGATGCCCGATGGCGAATTCCTTTCATATAACTGACAAATTTGAAAGGGGAAAAGAACTAGCTGGTAAGTCGCGCATCTACGCTCTCATAGTTTATCTCTTGCCATCCCTTTCAATGCTTATAATTTTTTTTTTCGGCTGTCACTAATTGATCACGCCTTTGATGATTTACAGGCTTATGCCGATTATGGTCATAATAAGGTCAAATTTCTTTGGGTTTTGCGCATCAAAGATCAGTTTTTATTTTTATCATGGTGCAGCATTTTTTGTTTAGTACTTAATTTATTGAACAAAAAGTAGGGATTCACGGTGGGTCGCATGTGCCTTTACATTATTTTAATCATATTTCTTCTCTGCAATTTGCAATTGAAAAGTGCTTAATTGGCTCTTCCCTAGTCCCTACACATGGAGTTTGCCTTTTTTTCTTTTTTCTCCTTCCTCTTTTAGTTGGCCTGACTGATATAATAACATTTTCAAACCAAAGGTTAAGGTTGTGCGTTGCCCCATTCGGAAACCTCGTTGCTCAGCTGTCACTGTCAACTCCACTTGTTCGTTTCTATTGTCTGTATAGTACTAATTAAATATTTAGTCATATTTTAGTGGGTTCATATGAGAATCATCAACAATTTACCACCAGATTGGAAAGTGCTACCTTTTCAAATCATGCTATCTGGGGCCGTGATAGTCGCTTTACAGTTAAAGCATCTCATCATGTACCTAATACACTACTGTGATCAATTGTATTTCCTATGTACGTGGAATGATACAGGATGGAGTAAATTTATGGAGGATACTTGAGATATCCATCTCTTTGTACTTTAGAACTTGAACTATAGCTGGGTTTTAAGTGATCTAAATTCTTTCGGAACTATAGCCAAATAACAGAGCTAAGTTTTAGGGTGTGTGTTAAGTTTTCCATGTTGTAAAAGGTGTAGAATATTTCACATGGTTGAGTGAATGAACTGCTGTCTCCTTATATGGTTTTGGGTAATCTTCACTTCATGAGTTAACTTTTGCGGTAAAGTTAGTCGCAAACTTCATTTTTTTATATGGTATCAGATCTAGACCCGTTCCTATTCTTTGTTATGTTGTCCATGCTCCAAATGCCCTGCCTTGTGTGTAATTGAACATCTTTGTTAACTTATACTGTATTCTGTGATGCTTTCTAAGATCATTGATTTCATAAGACACAAAAGCACCTCTTGATTATTGTACAAAGATGAGATTTTCTTAAAAATAAATGTCGCAATAAAGTCGGCGCACATTATGGTCCTTTCTTTGTAGTAATATATTAGCAAGCACCTTCTGGTATAGACCTGGATAGCTGAACTTCATATATAGTTTTCATCTCTTCCCATTGTTCACCTGCATGCACAATGGGCTTTAACATGCGTAGAGGTGTTTAGCCCCTCATATCTTTTAATTTCAAGTAATGTTATATGGGATAGAAGGAGGAAGGATCAAGAGCACGAATAATTGCTTAAGGTGCAATAACTTCAATTTATTTAGCATCTCTAAAATGAAATCTAGATGTTCGGATATACATGTACGATACTATTGAAAATACAACTTCCAGGCTTATATTTCAACCTGTGGCGAACAATTGAATTTATACTACTACTACTACTACTACTACTAATTACACATAAGAGTGCAAATCTTATGTACATATCAACATGTCTAAACATTTGGGCCAATATTTTTATTCTGAGAAGCATGACCAATACCCGGACTGTGTCCTGCTTTGAGATCGTTTACGCTTCCTTCAACAGTGTGCTTTGGTTGATAATTTGCTTTTGGTCCTGAAGAAGAATGTCCAATACCTGGACTATTTCCTGTTCCTGTTGGTGTGTAGTTGATTTTTCCCATAACTGGTGAAGTATCACCAGTAAAACTTTGCCTCCCAAGAGTTTCTTTTTCCATCGTGTTATCAGCAGAGTGAAACTCGTGTTTCTTCAATGCTTTCAGTTGTCTTCCCTCAGTCATTAGAACGAGGTGGAAAGCAACTACTGCAAGAAGGAAACTAAATACACAGATATGTTTGATACATGCCATAACTAGAGAGGCAATTTCTGTAGAGGTACTTAAAGGTGAAATAGCTCTTTGAATGCTTAATTTTTTTGCTTGTGAAAGAAGCAAAGAGAACTAGACACCACAGGAGAGAAAAGTAATGGGGTTTCAAGTGTTCTATGGAGATGATATCTAACTTGGTCTTTGGGTGAAGAATGTTTTCTGTTGTTGTGGTACCTGTGTATATATAGGAACGAGAACTTTCCTATGCATGTAAGGTCATCAATATTTTATTACTCTGTACTTTTTCTAAAATTTAAAATTGTCCTCTTGTAGGAACAATTTGGATGGTTCATGGTCCTTCAATAAGTTTGGAATGCTTTTAACTTGCTTTGTAAATGGGTCGTCACTGATCTTTAGCACTGTATTTCGTTGTTACTTCTTTCCTAGTTCTTTTATGGTCCATCAGTGCTTCTTTCATTTCTTTGTCCTCTTTACAATTTGAGTTGCTGCTATACATATATTTTTCAAAAATAGGATTTAAGTTATTTGATAGCAATTTTTTTTTACAACATAGTAAAATATAATATACTATCAGGCGATAGTAGATTTACTCTATTTTTCAGGTTATTATAGTTGCTATGAAGAGATATTTGTTGTAGGAAGAAGGATAAGCAGCTTAGTTTACTGGATCTAAATTACCCAATATTCTTAACATGGGGTGTAAATATATGTGAAAAGTTATTACTAAAGTTTTAATAACTATTAATTGTGAACCTATAATTATATTTCAAAAGTGCAATAAGTTCAACGGTAAGAAGTAAGAACTTATAAAATGAATTCATTAAGTTTATATTCAGAATCGTCTCTGGTCATAACTCGTAAGTCAACATTAAATTATGGTGTAAAAAATCTACATGATGTTGGTGCATCCAACTTACACTAAAAATATAATGCTTTGACCTGCTTGAGTCATGCGGTCGTTTGGCTGACAAGTATTTATTGCATTGTAAAGTGTTTAGACTTGTAGTAAGGCTGATAGTTGGATGTACAGTAGCCTCTCTTTTTGTGCATGCAGCTTTATTGTTTCTAAATAGCAAAGATAGCTAAAGATCTTCAGATTTTAGGCTTATAATAACAGAATTATGTTCAGCCGGCCGTCCCACCACCGAAATTTAAACTTGAAAGATTGGATTCTTTAGTACTTCCCACTTGTCTGTGCTTAATTTTTTTATCTGGGTGGTTTATATGCAAGTTCTGACGCTTTTCAGTACACAAATTTAAGTGAAACCCATCTTATTCTAGTTCATTTTAATTTGTTTATGGTACACTTATGCTTTTGAGAGAGTACTTCATGATTAGTTAGCTGTTGAAAGGTTAAGATTCCAAATCTTAGGTAACCATGATCATTCCTATTTCAGCTGTATCAAAAACCTGTGAAGGGCGGCTAAGGCCGTTTTGTTATAATCTGCTAAAAGTAGCTTTCCAGAAAATTAAAAAGCCTTTTCTGCTCCTTTTCTCTCTATGTTTTGAGCTCATTCTTATTTTAGTCCTTTTGTATCAAATTCGGCTGGAGAAGAGAACTTATGAAATGTAGAGTATTTCTTCTATTGCTTGCTGCATACTTATTTATGCTCAATCATAACTATATATGCATTTGAAAAAGATATTCTTCACATTGCTGTTAAATACAATTATATTTTCCTTTTGAATCTTGGGACTTCCCTTATAATGTTCATTAATTGCTAGTTGCTTCTCATTTGTTGGCTACTCCTATTCATTTTCTCTTTGCATTAGTATGAAATTGGAGCTCTATGTTTTCCTGGGATCAAATAATATTCTGTTGAAAAGTAAAAGCACCAAGATGCGCCGCACGCACGGGTGCCTTGGAAATATGATTTCTGCTTAAAAGAGCACCAACCACTAACCAAAAAAGTTGATTGCTAATGGATGGCTTAAATAAGCTATGGATAGTTGACTGAAACTAAGTGATCATTAGTCTAGATTTTAATTTGTTGTGGTCCTTTTCATTTATATCTTCCACACTTTGACTCTTCCTTTTCTTGTCCATAGTAGTAATAAATTCAACTGTCATGATCACTTATCTTTTTTAGGAATTTTCAAATTGATGTGACATCTCTGATACTTTTACTTTCTAGTACTATACTATTAGTTTTATTTGTTTTAAGAGAACTGTTTTAGCTTTATGCTGATGTCGCTGGTTAATTTATTTTCCCTAATGAGGATCAGTTATATTGTGGATTTATGTTGTTGACCTTCTAGTGGAGAAGATGTCCAATATGAGATTCTAATTCAACAGGTCACATTCTATTCTTTTCTGCGTCTTTCATTTGTCATATGGACTGGAGATTTGATATAGAGTTTGGAGGAAATTAAGGGATAATAGATATGGCTGTGATTATGTTCTTCCTTGATATCCTTAGCTCTATTTAGCTCATCTTAGTCCAATATTATATGAAATAAAATAAAAATAAAGTTATTACTCTTGCTTCTGCTAGATAATTCAATTTTGCAGCAAATTTTCGTGGTTCTTCCTGAACTTCAATGACGGCCAGGGTTCCATGAATCATGATGGGTTTTTTCATGCTCAAGTAGCCAAGCTCCTCTTTTTTCTTTACCCCATATTTCTCTTTTCACTAAGTACCACCTCCTTTCTTTTTGTCTTTGATAGTGTTTTTTCTTTCTCGTTTTGGGTTATCATCTCATACTTTTTCCCCGGGGTGGGGGGTGGGGGGGGTGAAGAATATTTTGTCTGGTGAATACTAAAATTAATTTGGTAACTACAGAAGCCACCTACTTGTGAGGGCCCTAGCACTCTTCTTTGTCTCAAATAGGTTATTACTACTTGTTTCAAGTAAGTCAAAATAAACCAAATGATACCTTGGAAGTGGGATATGCAATTCATTGACTGTCCATTTCCTCATTCTCTCTATAAACTGAAATTGGGAAAGGGGATTCTTTCAATAAGGGCATCTTAAGTTGGCTCCTCGAGTCCTGGAAGCCTCTCTTTAGTGTTGGCCCACCAAATTGCAGAAGACATAAATGATAGACTATATTACTACTAGAAAACAAAGAGCATTTTGTTTCAGCTTTTGCTAGACTGTGATTCATGAGTGCTGGTGGTAGCTCAAATGGTTCTTATAGTATAAATCACCTAAAAAAGACGGTATAAAGGATCTTTTCCATGTCTTTTGAACCAAAAAGGTTTATAGATTTTTTAATATAGTAGTTGTTTTTACCATTATAATTCATCTTTCCTCCTTTTTCCTATTCTCAATTTAGATGGTTAATTACGCCTTGCAGTTTTTTTGTTGAATATTCAGAGATGCGCCAACTACCAAGGCACATGTTGGAATTTTGGAGAGAGTGCAGATTTTGACAACTATGCAGACATTTACCAAGAGATTCTTTTCCCACATCTTTGGGTAATTGCTTTACTCTTCTAGCCTTAGAGACATGGTATTTGCACTGACAAGGTTTTATATCTTAATGTAGAATGATAACATGTTGATCATGGTATTTACACTGACAAAGATCATCAATGAAACAAATTGAACGCGATGCGACCACGGTTTAATTAAGGGATAAAAATACAGTTAGAAGAAGGGGAAAAAAGAGGAACAAAAGGAAAGTTTTGGAAGGGAATTTAGACTGTCCAATTTAGAAGTCAACAACAATAACAACAACCACCCAGTAGAATCCTACTAGTGGGGTCTGGGGAGGATAGGATGTACGCAGACCTTACCCCTATCCCGACGGGATAGAGAGGCTGTTTCCGGGAGACCCTCGGCTCAGAGACAATAGATCCATAACCACAATAGAAACCAGAAAAATAGTATCAACATCATAAAATATAACAAATAAATAGAAAGGCGAAAATGTAAAATACAACAAAAATAAAAATCGCTATCAGCCTAATAAAATAAAAATTATAAAACACAACAAAAATCGCTAGCAGTCCTAGACAAAACACTATCAGACTAGCCGGTGCAGCTAGGAGAAACGCTCGACTACCCTCTAGCCTACAACCCTAATGCTCGACCTCCACACATTCCTATCAAAGGCCATGTCCTCGGAAATTTGGAGATGCGCCATGTCCTGCCTGATCACCTCGCCCCAGTACTTCTTAGGCCGCCCTCTACCTCTTCTCGTAACAGCCAGAACCAAACGCTCACACCTCCTGACCAGAGCATCTGAGCTCCTCCTCCGCACCTGCCCGAACCACCTAAGCCTCGCTTCACGCATCTTGTCATCCACGGGAGCCACGCCCACCCTCTCCCGAATGACCTCATTCCTAATCTTATCCATCCGAATGTGCTCGCACATCCATCTCAACATCCTCATTTCTGCTACTTTCATCTTCTGGATATGTAAAATCTTGACTGGACAATTTAGAAGTCAAGGAAGAAAAAGAATGAGGAGAGCATGAAGGCAGTGTCATGAATCACTAGTGTAACTGTGAGAGTGCTGGCAAAGAAAAAAATTCTCGACTATCAGCAGTTCATAATATACTGTTAATGTGCTAACATTATGTAAAGAAATACTAAAAGATGTCTGCAGTAACCTAAGCCTGCAGTGGGTTCTTTTCCTAATTTAGCATTTTGTCATAGAATTAAGTTTAAGGGGAGGAACTTATTTCTTACAATGAAATGAGATTTTATAATCTAAAGACAATGTGTTCGCATAATGTTAATATTTTGGTAGACCTCTTCATCTCTGTATAAGTATTAGACATTTTCGATCACCAATTAAATATAGTTCTATGCACTTCATGCAATTTCACTGTTCTCTTTGCTCATAGTAGGTTACAGAATTTGTCACTGCAATAAGTAAGACCGCATGTTATTAACTTGAATTTTTGAAGATTATGAACTAAGACCGATATTTTTATTTTGATTATTGTTAGTGTATAAATTGATTTAGACCAACTTAATAGAAGAATGGTGGACAACTTAACTTTACGAGGTAAAGAATTTCATCAGGAGTTGATATAGTGAGATGTAACTAATCATACTTTCATGCAATCGTATTAAAATGCCGTTAATGTAAATAAAATCTTAATTCCCAAAACAGAAAGCCTGTTTTTCCTTGAAGAACTTGCCAGGATCTTGGTCAAGTTTAATGTCTAGTGACTGTTTACTAATGCAAGTTTGGAACTGTGATATGAGCACATATGAGAAAGTTAAAATGTATGTTTGTGTACTTCATGCAGAAAACTATAAACATAGTCCTCTGAACATTTTTCTGTTATGAGACTTAAATAGGTAATCTGCTGATATAATTAGAATGCCAAGATTTAATGTCATGATGTAATATGAATTACATTTATACATAGACATGAAAACCTATATCTAGCATAACAATTGATGCATGTAGCTACAGCTCTTAGTTCCCTTTAAGAGAATGACCAATCCCAGGGCTATGACCAGGTCCCGAAGGAGTGAAGCCATCGGCATGACCAGGGGGAGGGGGCTGAGACACTATCTGAACCGGACTTGGCGGTGTTGGTGCTAGCGGGGTTGCAGGTGTGGCCATATTGTCAATTAGTGCCTTCTCTGTTGCATAAACTTGCATGTTTCCATTGTACTGTTTCATCTTTTCAGTTTCTCTTTTGGTTAATGCTACTGTGTGAACATAGGGTTTAGAGGGGTCATTTGCATTCTCAAACTTCAAGTATCTTCCCTCAATAGATTGAATAATGTAAGGGAATAAGATCATGGAGAGGAAAAGGTTAGCAAGGATCAATTTGATTTGAGCCATGAAGAGAGTGATAATAGATCAGAATGCAATTGATGCTATTTGTATGCTTAAACTCATTCTCTGTAGCTATTTATAGATGGAAAGCAAGCAACATGAGGGCTATTGGGTCCTTACTAGTTGGAGATTCTCACATGCATTACACAAGAGGACAGAGATGTGTTGGAGTAACTTTTTTCATTTTATTTGCAAAATATGTATGGAATGTGTGGTAGAAGTCATAATGACAGCAGTGGCAGATCCAGGATTTGGACTTAATGGATTAAGCCTTCGTACCTACCACTGAATCCATGATAATTTTGAAATTATGGGTTCATAATTTAATATTTTTTTAAATAATTATCATATATATAAATTGTGTACATAGACACACACTTCGCCTAAAATATGACGAGGTCAATTGAACCCATTAAACCTATACTGCATTGCCTCTGAATGAGTCTTTTTCTCTGTTTTTTAAGCCAATCAGCCAACCATGCAAGATTTTATATCCCTTCTTTGCTGCCCTCTTTGCTAAGATAACTTTTTTGCAGAAGATTCAATTTCACAACATTTGGAGAAAGTTGAAAAACTTCATGTCATATATTAAAGGACATAAGTTAGTGGGCTAATTAGACTTCTGAGAGCCCACCCGTCACGGTATATCAAAATGTTGGCCTAATATAGTATAGATTATTTATTATTCATATATGCTCCACTGGTTTCCCTCTTTTGTTAGTACTTTATATTTTCAGTCAAGCATGCTCACTTTCCAACTGGAGAATTTGATAATATTCTCTGCACTTTGTGGCCTACCTACTGTATATTACAATTTAGCTCTATTTGCTAGTGGCTGAAATTGATTAAGGTGAAAGAGTTCATTTGAGCTTGAAGATTTTGGTGGTAGTAAATTGTGCAAAGTTCAATCAGTCAAGATGAATATAGTTGCATACATTAGGGGATCAATTTCCCTTACTCCAACTAGAAACCTTTATTGGGCCAAGAAAGATAACTGGTTGGGCTACGTACAACTTTGGCCCAGAATCACACTGAAAAACTGTACGCCAACCTCCTCCCCCGCCAATCCCACTGATTTTCTCGTCGTTCGTTCTTTTCCGTTCACATAGTTGATGGTCCTATTGATGAAAGGGGAACTACCAGCTATGCCAATTTATAAGTAGCTTATTACGAAAATTGACCAATTCATTAAATATTACCAATATTATTCAAATGTTATCAATATTAGCCAATTAGCTATTTGTACCAAAAAAAAAGTCAAATTTTTGCTTTCTTTTAATAGGTGTTATTAGAATAGATTGGGTATCTTAAGGAGTTTGAATCTCAGTTTCGGGATGATTGACGGAGTTTTGAGGTGGTTTGAATTGAAAATTCGAACTAGAAGATGAAATATGAAAAAAAATGATGTGTATCACACTGTGTATTATTTGTGTATCACATATGTATCATATTGTATCAAATGTGTATCACATATATATCCATGCGTGTGTTATGCATATTTGATACATGTGTCGCAATTTTTTTTTGACTCGATTTTAACTACAAATTTGATATCAAATCACCTCCCATCTTCCTGAAAGTTTGTATATTGGCTCATCGATATGTTTTCAATAAACTTCAACCATACCCATTGAAAAAGTCATTTTTTGCTTAGATTTTTGAAATTTTGTATATATATTTCTTTGTATTTCGTCACCTTGTTTGCTACCTTATCTATGAAATTGTCTTTCCGTCTTGCATCTAATGTTGATGATCACACTTAAAAATATGGAAGGAGATCTTTACATGTGATTCTTGGAGAGAAAAAATCTTAATTATTTGGGTTTTTAATTTTTATATGTGCTTGGCTAAGTTTGATAAATATATGATTAATGACTAGAGGTTGGTAAGTTATTTGGGACATTTATGTAAGATTCCCTTGATATGAAAATGGTAATTGACTCGAATTGAATCTCTTCCTATTGTTGAACATTGCCCAACCTTTGTGAGGTAGGAAAACGACCAGTTTTTTAGAATTAGTATCAACGTTTTTTGTACTGTTTTATATCCCTCCTTAGCCACATCATTGATTATGTGTTTTATAAAATGATAGTAGTATATATTTTTTGTTTTACAAAGTATAAAAATAGTTTAGTGCGTATATATTTGATTTGCAAATCCTTAGTTAGCATTTCCACGATTGCACGTAAATGATAGTATTATATTAGTCTGACTTGCTGTAAAAACTAGCCCTCTTTGCTTCCATCTGTTAAAATCGTTAGTAGCAACATCCTGGAGGTTCTCAACCCGGCGTTTGTTAAAATGGTTAACAGCAAAATTTTCACAATTCGAAAATTTTGAAAACTGTCTTTCAGATCAATCAAGTCTTCCAAAAGTTTTAAATAAATTTGAAGGAAAATGACATCTTCTTTTTAGAAACTACTACAAAAATAAGTAAGTTTAAAATCTTTCTTGACATCTGAAAACAACGCTAAGTGGTCGTTTGGTAGCTGGTTAGGGGAAAGGTTATCCATGTAGTGGGGGCAATATAACTTATGCAATGTTTGGTAGCCATTAGTTATTTTGTACAAAATTCAGCATAACTAAGACCATGTTTGGTTACCATTTTACAATTCTACATAAACAATACATGTATACGTTATGAGTTAATCTATGTATTATTTATGCAGGGTAGAAGATGGAATAACTAATACTACATGTATTAGTAATACATTGATAAAATATTGAAATGTCAAATTTACCCCGATCATTTTACACAAAGGCTTATCAAACCCTTTGGAGAACTGCTAGGCTCTTCCTCTTCTCAATCTATTAGAGAGAAAATCAGTAAATAAGTATTTTACTTTAAAATTTATATAATGTATATCAATTTCTAATACAACAAACCAAATATTCAAACAAAATAATCCATGCGTAACTAATACCTGCATAACTAATAGTACATGTATAACTAATACCTGCATCATTCTAATCGGCAACCAAACGACCCCCAAGTGTAGTTCCGTCCAGCTATGCAGTAACCAGGAGGCACATGAAAGAAATGAAGATTTTTCAAACACACAAGTGTTCCAAAAATTGCTGCTAGGACCAACCAGAATCCTTACAAGTTTAACAGGTAGAATTTAACCTCCCTACAATGCATCTACTTTCGCAATTCAAGTCGTTTCTTTGTTAAATTACAGATAAAGGCAACAATAAAGGAAGAAAAGGGGAAAACAAGGAGAGAAAAATCTTTCCTGCAGATCGCCTTTGGCACTGCCCAACTCTACTTACTTCACTATACACTTCAGTGTGGAATAAAATAGAAAAAACCTACAGATACATGAGAGAGTGAAACTTGGCGCTGTGCTGAGCTTCGACTGATTTACAGAGTCGAATGCAACAGGAAGCTTTTCCAAGTTGAGAGTATACCAGTCAGCTTTTGCAAGAAAAACAGTTGATATATACACCTCCTTCATCGATCAATGATAGTGAGAATATTTTTCTTTTTTATTAGATGATGGAGAAATCCCCCAGGACTAGCAAGATGGACAGTTAGTTATGATGAGCTTGCCACTCTACTCTTCTCCATGTAAATACCAAGCTTAATAGTTCGCAGCACAATCCAACTCGTGACGTGTGCCTAATCCACACATCAGGTGCTACGCTCTTACCACTGAACCAAAGCCCTAGGGACTGAAAGTGAGAATTAATAGTCAGCTTGGACGAATCTCTCGTAGGCTGTTCCACTCAAGGTCTTGTTCACATCATCCCAATTCTTGATATGTTCCCTCAGTGGCCCGTTATGTATCTTAACTTGACGGCTACTTAATTCCATCTCAGGCAATCTTAGAAACTTGAGAACGTCTACCAATTTCTGTAATAAAAGCAGGAAATATGAGCAACATAGATGAAACAAGATTGCAAAATATTACTGTGTTAGACGATGGAAAACTTATTGGTTTCTCCAGCATAGCAAGCTATGGAAGTTGGTGATTCAAAAATCAAATAAAAACGCCTTTACTTTTTTCGGAAAGGGAAAGTTAAAGAAGCTCGACTAAATTTGCAATTTGAGTATGTATTTAGTGAAACTCCAAGGAAGTATTGCAGGACAAAAGTAATTATAAGTTCAAGAATTTTAAAGAAGATTCCTACAGCTCGATTTCTGACAATATCTTCATAATACAGAATCATATGCCGAGTGCTGTTGAAGTATTCCAGTGCCTCACCGGCTGCTACCTCCATTTTCTTTAAATCCGTGATCAGCAATGTTGTGTTGATTTCTGGTTTATACTTTGCAAGAGTACCAGCCTAGGTAAATCAGCAAAGTGATTAGATTGTATATTATGTCCATGTGCCTGCACTGATAAAGAGGGATGGGTTCGAGAAGATACCTCGTCAGGTGAGTGCACATGAGACTTGTGTGTTCCATTCAAGAGTTTGGCATATCGATCATAGGAGTTCGAAAGCACTGAAACCATACGCCGCAGTAGATTCCTTCTAAAGAGAAATATAGCAGAAACACCTTTTTCATTGAAATATTCAACAATTTCCTTATGATGTTGTATCAGCCCCTGCAATGGTCATATATAAGAATCAGAAAATTCTAGCAGCCCACCGAAGCATTATTCACACAACTTGCTTTTAATGTGCTGAAGATGCGACATAAAAACCATTTGCTTATTTTATCACAAATAATATCCTAATCCATTCACGGTAAACTAAGTGTATCTTTACATGAAGTAAGAAACAGTACAAGGAATAACAACAAAAATAAAAAATAAAAAATAAAAATCACAAAAATTGATCCTGCAGGCAGGACATTCTGCTCTTTAACAAAGATCTCTTGTTAGCTATTAGCTACCAAAAGCCTAATTTCCTAACTTTTTTATGAAGATTCGGATTCCTATAACATACCTTGTGAATGTACCACGAAATTCAGTTTCAAATTGTATAAAGCTTAATATCATTGGAAGAACAAGATGACATCTTCAACAAATTTGAGAACTCCCACAGCTTGCCTCATATTGTAATATTCTTTCAGAGAAAAATATGGCAACCTAAAGGAACATCCAGATGTACTTTTTTTTTTTATAACCGTGGTGTAAGGGCCAGCTTGCGCGCACCTCGACTAATTCCACGGGATACCTGCCAACTCCCACCAGCAACAGGTACCAGGTACCAGGTACTGTCCATGGCTTGGACAGAT